ATATAAAGGTGGTCATCGCCCCCTGGGCCTCCCCTTGGTGGCGCCCATGCAAAGGAGCGCAATTACATCAGATACGTTTAATTTTACAGTTTGTGCAAAAATAAAAACACAAAAGACTTTGTTACAAAACTCTTCCACAAGTTCCTTCTGAAAGTCAAAATTCATGATTGTTTTAAAAAGCGACTGAATTTATAAATATAGGTTTGTCTAAACCGGACAACAGTTTTCATCGCTTTTTTTCCGCTTTAAATATTTTAAACAGATCTTTTCAGATCTCAGTTAAAGTCCCCGCGTTGTTTGGTTCAGTGATAATAAAGCAGAGATAAAAGCTGCCGCGCATCAATGTTCGGATCAGCACGAGCTGACTCCCGCAGCATCTCCCGCTGCGCGGCGGAGGGATACAATAACCGCTGTCATCGTCGTGCTGAGGCTTTTGCAAAGCAAAAAATGTCTGCCTAAGGGAAACTCGTAACTGATATATATAGAGGATATTTTCCCACTCATAGGCGCTCAAGCCCACATTTCGCCTGTTTGAGGGGTGTTGACAGAAAGCGACTCTTCACCAGATCACCCTAGTCGGGATTTTATTCGGAAAACAGGTAAAATGTCATGGGGGGGAGTTTGCCAGAAAGCTTTCGGACCCGTGAAAGAAGTTGGGAGTTGAGAGTGAGAGAGCGACAGAGAGAGACCATCGTTGCGTTTTTGTTTTCTGGAGCTGGAGACTGAGATTGTTGCCTCCAGTGTCCGCTCGTCTGTACCGGTTTGTAACTCACGTTTTAGGTCACTGACTCGTCTCCCTCGTACTACTGTCCACAAAGACAGCAGTAAGAGGTTGCAGCTATTTCCAACCCATATGAGCGAGTAACTGCAGCTAGCGTTAGCCAGCTAGCTCACCGCAGCTACCAGCAAACCATCGTCACGCTCGAAAACTGCGCTCCACAAATCACTGACATTGACACGGTCTGTAGCAGAGCAATGTGAGGATCGTATAAATGCCTTACTATCTGCGTGCGGCGTTATTTCAGAGTTATTTTGTCCCTGCATTGACGCGATGCTGCAGGTTCCTGACATCCATTCAGAACGCTCCCAGCAGCGCTCTTATTTGTCTCCGTCGCCCGATAAAATTAATAAAACTGAATGGCTGTGAGCTTATTAAACTGATTAAATATAAGTACAAGACGCGCAAACTGTCAGTGTCTTCACAACGATCCAATGCCCGGAGTCAACTTTACTTCTCGGTGMTGGTCTTTTATTCTGCATCCACAGCAGACAGCTCCCGTGGCAGTCATTTCCCGAAGAAGTAGTCCCCGCTGTTAGATAAAGCAGCTAAAGATGTGACCCTGATGGACTGTGTGCGTTTTTTTGTCCAGGTTTCTAGATCGCCAGGATGAATCCTCAGCAGCGGATTGCCGCTCTCGGAACAGACAAGGAATTAAGTGACCTGCTGGATTTTAGCGCGGTAGGACACAGTTGTTTTCAGCTGATCTTAAAAAGTGTAAAAAGGCTGCAGCATGAGATTCCAGGTTTCCAACAATGTGTATGTGTGTGTKTTTTTTWAATATGACTGTTGTATTGAGGACAGGTGAACAGCTAATGGAACTTTTAGTGTCTTTTTCTGGCAATTACACACCAGCAACAAGCCTAATTATATAGTTTGAAATAAAAAACACTGCTTTGAAAAAGGTTATGATACTGAACATTACRAATGAAAACTGCTTGTTTTTATAGCTCCACTCTGGTTATTTGTACATTACATCACCACCTACTTAGAGCAACTCATTCTCAAAATCTTCACTTTCCTGTTTTATGTGACTTAAAATATTCCCACAGTTTCCATTTTTTATGTATTTGGGTCTGCAGTCACATAATGATTTTAATGTTAGTGCCATCAGTTGATTAATAAATGTACTATAAGATTAACTGTTGATGGAGCTAATTCCTCCATCAGCTGAAGAAGGGGTAGAACAAGATCAGACTATAAATATATAATTGCTACTTTATTTTTAATTCAGGTGAAAAACATATTCCAAGAATTTTGCTAAATTATCGTACCGTAAAGAATCTAAAAGCCAAATTTGTCAGTTATCTATGAGTTTTATTAAAGCTAATTATTTCGATGGTTGCTTTTTACTCTTCTGGATCTTTTATTTCATTTGAGCTTTTTGTTTGTACTTTTACTTCCAGATGTTTTCTCCGCCTGTGAGTGGAGGAAAAAACAGGCCTACAACACTTGGAAGCAGTCAATTCAGTGCAGCAGGTAAGACTTGAGCCTTTAAACCTATTTTTTTCTACAAACCCCCTGCTATGAGGTTTCTGTTTATCCCTGCTTATGTGTCTTAAAGCTTGCACACACACATACAAAAAAAAAATCAGTTGTTAGGTCTTGTCTACTTCTGTTGGGATTGTTTCTGGGCTTGTTTATAAATGGGAGGAAAAGTGTCTTAGCCTTCAGTCTTGAATGTAATTCCTCTTCCTCTGTGTGATGGCTGTTCGCTCTCCTCACATCTGGTGCTTGAAACCTGAGCCGTCCATCTGGAATTGTAGAGCAGCGCTGCAGTAAAGATGTTGAACAAAGCACACTTTGGACCACAGACAAGTGCAAATGTTTTATTGATCCATTTACGGTTAGAGTGCTGTGAATGCTAATCATGTTTGCATTACTGTCAGATGGATAAATAATGCATAAATCAGGCACGTTTAGGCTGTAATGATCAGGTGTTCTCAGGTGCAGGGACCGTTCACAGAAGCTGCTGCGACTGAGGATTTGTTGTGATGTGTGTCCACACGTCTGGGCCGGAGCTGCTTTTGGACTCTGGTTTCACAAAACAGTAAAATGTTTTGACTGAAATACGCGGAGACTTATAAATTCTTCATCCAGTAACAGATTCTCACACGTTTTCTTTCCATTATTATTATTATTATTTTTGTTTAATAACGCATCTGTGGATAGCTTAAGCTGCAATAAGAGGAGTTCAGGTTCTTTGCTTCTGGATCGCTTCCTCTAGAAATAAACGTTTCAGGACATTAATCTGAAGCACATCTATTGTCTGATGTGCTACTACAAAAAGTCAACAATCAAGCATTATGTTTTCTGAAAGCGTGTCTTGTGCGCATCCACAAAGCCTCATTGTCGACAGTTATCTGTGAAACGAAAGCCACACATTGCGTAGAAATGACAAAGAAAGAAGAACAGAGCTGTCACACATGAACTGTGGCGCTCTGAGGAGGACTTTTATGATACCTAATCATTCAAGTGAGAAGGATGTTGTCTGCGTTTCCACTGAAATCTTTATTTAGTTGAACTGAAAGCAAAACGTCATTACAGTATGTGTTTGCTGCTAAAATGCTGGGCGTCTGTTGTTGTACAACACTGTTGTGTCTTGAAGATTCAATTTCTTATAAACATTATGAAACAGATAAAAGGTGCATCTGTCAATTATTATTATTATTTAAGATTTTAGATGATGTCAGGTTGTGTTTTAAAAATCCACCATGAAAACACCTTTGATTTTATAATGCCACCTTTCTTTCCAAATGTTCTATTCTGAGTGATGTAAACACAACTTGGTGGAAACTTTCTGTAAACTTTTAGTGAGCATTGGTTTCATGGAACAGGAAGTTCTTTATGTTAATTTATAAAAAAATAAGTGATGTGAGCACCTCGTAAGGGCAGCACAAGATTTGATCACATCTAATCAAATGAAAACTGTAACTAAGTTTTAAATCGATTGCACCAGATACAACCCCTTTTTCTAATCAGTCTAGATTATTTTTGTATTGCACCAAAACCCAGATGTATAATAAAAAAAACGAACATTTATGTATCAGATTGAAAAACTATTGTTAGTGTCCTTAATTCAAACTCGTTGTGTTTGTAATAATTCATCTTTCACTTACTTAAAAGCATTTTGTTTTGGTTTTGTTTTGCAAGAAAAATCTGCATCCRTTCATTTTAAATGAGAGTCTGATCTGGACTGGACTACAGGCAGACCAGTCATGTCTCTCCCAGTGCTGTGTAGGTATCTTTACATTCAGTTTGGGTCATATTTTTCTTTATTTTCTATGCCGTTTTATGAGCTATTATATCACAGTATTTTGTGACRGAATTCTTAAACAAGGTCTGGACTTACCAACTACAAATCTGTCATCTTCATTCTCCTCTGGCTCCAACATGTGAGGCTGGATGGACAAGTCTTCCCTTGCATGTTTTTAATTTCATTTGTAAAAAAAAATGTGAATGTGTGTGTGTGTGTGTGTGTGTGTGTGTGTGTGTGTGTGTGTGTGTGTGTGTGTGTGTGTGTGTGT